CAGTCAACTTTTATCATCGCTTTATTCCGAACGCCGCCACAATGCAAACCCCGCTATACGAAATGACGAGCGCTATCAAAAAACAAGACGGTCGCCTCAAATGGTCAGCCGAATCGCGCAGCTGTTTCGACGTTTGCCGACAAGCACTCGCAGACACCGCACGTCTTGCGCATTTACGGTCGGACGCAGTGTTGCGCCTCAGCACGGACGCATCGAACATCGCCGTGGGCGCCGTGCTCGAACAAAAGGTCAACGACCTGTGGCAACCGCTCGGTTTTTTCTCTAAAAAGCAATCACCCACCGAGCAAAAATACAGCACGTACGACAGAGAACTCCTCGCCGCGTACCTGGGCACGCGACATTTCGTGCACCTCATTGAAGCACGACACACAACGTTATGCACGGACCATAAACCTCTCACGTATATGTTTACGCTCAAGACCGAGAAAATCGTCGATCGACAGGTTCGACAGATTTCGTTTATGTCGCAATTTTTTCACGACGTCGAATACATCCAGGGCAAGGACAACACAGTCCCCGACGCGCTATCAAGAATCGAAATCGCCGAAAGTACCGAGATGCCGACTCTACGACAATGGGCCCTCGACCAGGCCGCCGACCCGCAGCTTCAGCAGATCATCGCCGACAACACGACGAGTTCGTTACGTATTCAACCGCGCGAATCTGCCGATGGGGTAATATACGCGGATTACTCAACAGGCAGCGCGCGTATGTTCGTGCCGTTTATTCATCGTCGTCGTGTTTTCACCGCGTTGCATGGGCAAGCACACGGCGGACAACGCGCCACTCTACGTCTTATCAAGTCAAGATACTGCTGGCCAGATATGAATCGAGAGATTAACAGGTGGACACGTTGTTGCGAACAGTGCCAGCGCGCGAAGGTAAATAAACACACGTCGTCTCCGATCACGCCTTTCGCTCCACCCGAGCGCCGTTTTGGACATATTCACGTTGAAATCGTCGGACCACTTCCGCAGTCGAACAATTTCAAGTACCTGCTCACCGTCGTCGACCGATATACGCGCTGGCCCGAAGCTTGGCCAATCGAAAATATGTCAGCTTACGCCGTCGCGCAGTTGCTCACGACTCAGTGGATCGCACGTTTTGGCGTGCCCGACATCATCACCACTGATCAGGGTCGACAGTTCGAGTCCGAACTTTTTCAAAAACTCATGGCGACATTCGGCATTCAGCACGTGAGGACTTCGCCTTACCACCCGATTGCCAATGGATTGGTAGAACGTCTTCATCGAACGATTAAGGCCGCGTTAACCGCCCACGAGTCGCCTCACTGGAGCACCGAATTACCGATCGTCCTTCTCGCGCTGCGTAACACAGTCAAGGAAGACATCGGACATTCACCAGCCGAATTGGTCTACGGCACGACCTTGCGACTCCCAGGAGAGTATTTTCACGCAGCACCTCCCGAGCCGAGACCACTGGAGCTGGTCGTCGCACTACGCGAGGCAATGGGGCAACTCCGATATACGCCGGGTGCGAACCACGCCACCCGACGCGCTACGTTCGTACCAGCCGACCTAAGTCAGGTTAAGGCACTATAAAACATGGGTATGCTACGCCGCCATTTTGCGACTCAATTATTAATATCAACAATGATAAAATAAACGCGGGCAATTTCATATTCACATTTCACATATTATTATAATAATAATAATAATAATAATAACTTTATTGCAACCATAACATCTTTACATATTAAAACAAAATAATAAATATAGGTAGGTATGTATACGTAAAAATATAAATTAATAAAATATAAATTATATGAAAATTGACAATGTTGCAGCACTCCCAAAAAGCAAGCTTGTGCTGGGAGAGCCAGTTCTTAAAAGAATTTCAGTTATAATAAATATATTTATAGATTACATAAAATAACAGTAAAAAGAGACTTAATAAGACTTATAACAAATATATAAAGATCATAAAATAGAATTATAACAATATAATAAAGAGGCAATAACATAAATTTAAATATAATCTAAATCTAATTTTTTTATACATTTTTTAAAAGAAGTAAGATCCTTAAAATTATTTATATTAATATTAAATAAAATACATAACTGTAAACCAATATAAAATGTACTTTTTTGACCAAAAACTTTAGTACAATTTGGTAAACATATACCTATTAATATTTTGTTTAAATCTAGTTTTATATTCGTGATCAAATATTGATATTAAATGTTTGTGTTTATAAAGATCAATCAAAACAGAGAAATTATAAATAAAATTGAAGTTTTTTAAATTTAGAGACTCATATAAAATGATAGTGCTAGTTTGAACGGGTAAATTAAATAAAAATTTAATAAGACAATTTATAGTAACTTTTAATCTGAATAAATGTATATTATAGGTTCCTCCCCAAATCGATAAACCATATGAATAGAAAGATTGTACTAAGGTTAAATAAATAATTCTTTTATAATAATTATTAAATATATATCTAGTATCTTTGAATATGTAGAAGAATTTACGTAAATTGTTATTCATAAAATTTATATGCCTATCCCATTTTAGCATATAATCAAGAATTAATCCCAGATACTTAATTTCTAATACATTTTCAAGATTAATACAATTACAACTACAGGTTGAAGTGAAATTAGGTATACAGTTTAATGAATGAACTATTAAATTATTATTTGTACAATTATTGGATGAAAAAAGTTCAAAATTAATAAATTTAGATTTTGTTAAATTCAATTTTAATTTATTCTTACAAAACCACCCATAAACGGTATTTAAAATATAATTAGCTTCATAATAAAGATTATTTACTGTTGGATTAGACACTAAAATGGCAGTGTCATCAGCAAAACTAAATAATTCAATATTAATATTTGTTTTTATATTCAAAAGATCATTAATAAAAATTATAAACAATAATGGTCCTAACACAGTACCTTGAGGAACCCCACAAGAAATGTCTAAAGATTCACTAAAAAAATCATCAATTTTAACTCTTTGGGTTCGTCCACTTAAAAAGGATTTAAAAAGGTTATTTGCAACTCCTCTTATACCAGCCTTATCTAATTTCTCAAGTAATATATCATGGTTTACACAATCAAAAGCTTTATGAACATCTAGGAAAATACCTAATACTTTATAGTTTTTATCAATATTTTTCCGTATAAAACTATCAACCTCAAATAGCGCGTCATTTGTCGACATCCCGGTTCGGAAACCAAATTGTTTTTTGGAAAAATAAGATTTTGTATTTAGGAAGTTTACTATTCTGACTTTGATACATTTTTCAAATATTTTGGATAAAGTTAGAGATAAAGAGATCGGTCGATAATTTCCACATAATAATTTATCACCCGATTTAAATAGAGGTATAACTGTACATTTTTTGAAGTTTGAAGGATATTTACCAGTTAATAATGATTTATTAAAGATAATTGCTAACGGTAAGGAGATAGATTTACGTACATTTTTAAGTAAATAATTTGTCACACCGTTCTCATAAAAAGAAGTATGATTCTTAATTTTTGAAAGGAGTGCTTCAATTTCATTAGCGTCTATTTGTTTCAAAAAAATACTGTCTTCAATAATATTATTATTAAATAAGAATTTATCAGAATTATTATAGTGTTCAATTCCTAAATTTGAAGCCACATTTACAAAAAAACTATTAAGTTCATTGCAAATATCAACTTTAGATTCAATAACAATACCATCTTTATTGATTATCCTATTAATTTTACTCGTATTTTGATATGGTTTACCTGTGACCTCGTTAATAATGTTCCAAACCTGTTTCGTATTTGATTGTGCGCGATGTAGTTTATTTTGATAATATAGTTGTTTAGACTTTCTGATTAATAAATTTAACGTATTTCGATAAGAAATGTAATATTGTCTAAAATTTGAGTCAAAAGGCCTAGTTCTTAATTTAGCGTATAATTTTTGTCTATTTCTGATAGAGGTTATAATACCAGTTGTAATCCATTCTTTAATTTTAAACATTTTTTTAGATTTATACTTAATATTAGAATACGTAGAACAATTTATAAATTCATTAAGTTTGGAATTAAAAACTTCGATCATAATATCAACATTATCATAGTCCAAGCATGAATACCAATTTTCTGTTTTAATTAATAAGTCTAAATGACTAGTATTTATCATATCAGATTTTAAGGTATATGAGGGAATATTTTCATTTGTGTATAAATCCGATAACATTAAGATAGTCGCATAATGATCAGTAATATCACATCTTAGTATATATGAATTAACTTTATTAATTTTAATGTTTTTGATAAAAATATGATCAATGCAAGATCCCGAAAAATTTGTAACTCTCGTAAAATTATTAATACAAGGTAGGTATCCATTTCTAGCCATAATATTTAAATAATTATTGCTTTTATTTGAATTTTTTAAGATATTTATATTAATATCACCACAAAAAATACTTAAAAATGAATTATTTATTTGAGATAAAAATAAGTCTAAAGCAATAATAAAATTATCAAGATCGTCATTTGGAGATCTATATATACAAATTAATGAAAATATTAAGTCATCGACTTTAATTATAAGCTGCATAGAATTACAATTTAATAAAACTTGTTTATCGATTTGTACTATATTTAGAGAATCTTTAATAAAGATAGTAACACCATCACTTTTATTCAAAGTTCCTACAGAGTTGATGGTTTTATAACCATTTAAATTAAAATCAAAATCATTAATGAGCCATGTTTCACATAAAACAATAATACTAAAAAAATATTTTACTGTACTAAGCAATGCTGTAAGATCATTTATATGAGCATTTATACTACTGATATTTAATTGAAAAATAGATAGATTATTATTAGGAATTAAAATGTCAGCTATAGAATCAATATAGGAGCAATTTACATTATTAACATTTAGATAATCATCAAAATTAAACATATTATTCATAATTTAAATACTAGTTAAAAATACATTTACATACATACTAATTATAAGTTTTGAATGTCTTGAGATGATTTAATTTTAGTTATTTTGGATTTTTCATCTTTTCTCACGAGAATATCCGCATTTGATAACCAGACGAATTTATATTGTTTATCTTTCGCAGCAGATCTTGTTTGAGCAAAAAGAGCTCGCTTTGATTTGGTAAGACGTTCATTAACGAAAACCTTTTCTACCGGCCATTTATTATAAATTTTATCAGTTGTTAATTTCATAGATTTTACATTTCGGATTAAATTTTTTCTCATATCAAGAGTATCTAATTTTGCCAGTATAATATTTTGCTTAGAGTTAAAAAAGTTAATTCTATTAGCTTCAAGTACCTTCAACTCCGTGTTTGTTTTTTTCCCAATTTCTTCAACAATCAAAACACAATTTTCATTGGTTGTTTTAGGAATACCTGATATTTCCACAGTAATTCCTAAATTATGCTGTTCAATTTCATCTACTTTATATTTCAAAACCGCAACTTCATCAGATAATCGTTTATTTTCCGTGATAATTTTCTCATTGACAATCTTAATATTTTTTAATTCACTAACTAAATAATCAATTTTATTACTAAAATCATCGAATTTTGAACTCATAAAAGATACGGATTTAGTTAACTCCTCAATATTTTTTTCCATTGAACTTATTAAACTTAATTCAACACCAGATGTTTGTGGTTTTGGCGATTTAGTAGTCTGGCATTCAGAACAGGTAAATCTTGCTTTAGTATTGTTAGACATTTTTTTATAATTTTGCTCAGAATAGCCAGTACAATAAAAGTGAAGAACTTTTTTGCAAGTAGAACACTCGAGTAAATCATCCTTATGAGTTGATGTCTCGAGACATTTAGCACACGTAAAATGCATTGTAAGTGAAACGTAAAAACCGAATTATAAGATAACTAAACAGAGATAACGGAGCACTAACGTTACAAAACTAAAGACGACTAGCTCTGGTGAAATCCAGATAAGAACTNAGGAGCAATTTACATTATTAACATTTAGATAATCATCAAAATTAAACATATTATTCATAATTTAAATACTAGTTAAAAATACATTTACATACATACTAATTATAAGTTTTGAATGTCTTGAGATGATTTAATTTTAGTTATTTTGGATTTTTCATCTTTTCTCACGAGAATATCCGCATTTGATAACCAGACGAATTTATATTGTTTATCTTTCGCAGCAGATCTTGTTTGAGCAAAAAGAGCTCGCTTTGATTTGGTAAGACGTTCATTAACGAAAACCTTTTCTACCGGCCATTTATTATAAATTTTATCAGTTGTTAATTTCATAGATTTTACATTTCGGATTAAATTTTTTCTCATATCAAGAGTATCTAATTTTGCCAGTATAATATTTTGCTTAGAGTTAAAAAAGTTAATTCTATTAGCTTCAAGTACCTTCAACTCCGTGTTTGTTTTTTTCCCAATTTCTTCAACAATCAAAACACAATTTTCATTGGTTGTTTTAGGAATACCTGATATTTCCACAGTAATTCCTAAATTATGCTGTTCAATTTCATCTACTTTATATTTCAAAACCGCAACTTCATCAGATAATCGTTTATTTTCCGTGATAATTTTCTCATTGACAATCTTAATATTTTTTAATTCACTAACTAAATAATCAATTTTATTACTAAAATCATCGAATTTTGAACTCATAAAAGATACGGATTTAGTTAACTCCTCAATATTTTTTTCCATTGAACTTATTAAACTTAATTCAACACCAGATGTTTGTGGTTTTGGCGATTTAGTAGTCTGGCATTCAGAACAGGTAAATCTTGCTTTAGTATTGTTAGACATTTTTTTATAATTTTGCTCAGAATAGCCAGTACAATAAAAGTGAAGAACTTTTTTGCAAGTAGAACACTCGAGTAAATCATCCTTATGAGTTGATGTCTCGAGACATTTAGCACACGTAAAATGCATTGTAAGTGAAACGTAAAAACCGAATTATAAGATAACTAAACAGAGATAACGGAGCACTAACGTTACAAAACTAAAGACGACTAGCTCTGGTGAAATCCAGATAAGAACTATTATACCTATCATCATTGAATATTCATTTCACGTTATTTTTCATAGGCCATCGTTCTGTTCCTTTTCTAATTTCTGTGTGGTATCGACTATTGTGTGGTTTATTATTTGTATGTGCAGCTTTGAGATAAATATATTATTCACTTATATTATTCCAAATATAGTTATTATGGGAGCATGTACTGCTCCAAATTGTAGTAATTCTCGGAAAAACAAAATTAAATTGTTCCGTTTTCCTCGAGAAAAAACCAGGAGGGACAAATGGGTTCAAAATTGTAGGCGAGATAAGTGGACACCAACAACTCATTCAGAACTATGTGAAGTAATTATGTCTAAAATATAAATATTGAGTAGTTATTTATAATAAATAGGTAATAAATAATAATGTACCAATTAATTTTCATAAATGTTAAAATTAATAATATAATATAACAAAGTAGGTATATAACATAGTAGTTAATTATATTTTGTAATTTATTTCTGTTATAGTATAGTATAGTTAATTATATTTAGTTAGATATCTACCTAATAACAATTTATAATCATTATAGTTATATATTTTTGAATTTAGATCCACTTTGAAAAAAGTCAGTTTGAGTTGCATCGTCAGGATGGGATTGTCAAACTTAAACCTAATACCATCCCAACTCTTTTTGATGTGCCAAATCCACCTGCTAGACTTGACACCAATAGGAAATCTGTTTATAAGGTATTTAATATTCATACATATAATTTTATGACTTTTTTAATCATTATAACACTATGCAATATGCATATTGTGATTCATACAAAATATTGACAACTAACTTACAACACACTTGGCAAGTTATTACATTACATACAAAAACCTAATACTTAAATATTAAACATTTTATAGAATATTGTGTTAAAAATAAGTTGTGATATTAACATAAGGGACATTTTTATGTTAAATAATAAACATTTAAGTTAATTTTATCTCAAATTTAATAACTAAAAAAGTTTATTCCCTCTTATATACTAAAATATTTGTTTGCAATTTTTGTGGTTTTAACTGTTTAAGTACTTATTAGGTATTAATGATTTACTGAAAGTTCAGTTTTTCAGATCTCATATTTCATATTTTTATCATCATCATTACCTACTCCAAATTATAATAGGTAACTCTAATTTTTTTAGAAAACTGTAAAGAAAACCAGTACCATTTCTTCCTCAACAATTATAACATCTTTGAGTCAACCAGATGCTTGTGTTAACATAACTCACAATTCAGCTGTAAGTAATAAACAATTTTAAATATACTGATTAAGTAGGTAGGTATGTAAGAATATTTTTTTTTAGTATGGCAAAAATCATTTCTTCTTATTTTCGTGTCACAACTGCTATAGTACGTCATATCAATTTTTTACTGAAAATGACATTAAAAGTTCAGTTTTTCAGATCTTATGTTTTATCATCATCAATACTTACAAATTATAATAACTAATTTTTCAGAATACTGCAATGGAAACAACTAACATATCAACCACAACAACTATGTCGTCGAGTCAATCAGATGATTGTGTTAACATAACTGACAATTCTGTTGTAAGTAATGTACAATTTTAAAAATAGGTACGGCACTAGGTACTGCTTAAGCATATTAATTAAAATCAAAAATGATTTCTGTAACTAATTTCTATACATTTTAAATTAGAATATTTTTTTTTAGTGTGGCTAAATTAATTTTTTCCTATTTATATGGTTATTATTTGTATTACTTATTTTATTATCTGAAAGAAATATTAAGTATTCAGGTCTTATATTTTATCATCATCACACTCCCAATTGATATAATGTTAATTTAAAGTGATACCGAAGTGATATTTATTAGACACATTTAATTCTTAAATAAAGCTATTTTAAGCTAGGTATTCGTTATTTTAAATTAAATAAATAATAGTCATGCATTAGTTTATTATAAATTACTCATAATAAGTTTAATGTGTATAAACCAATACCAAAAGCTGTAATATATATTCATATTTGTTTTGAAATAGAATGATGAAATTACACGTCTCCAGATGGAAAACACAAATTTAAAAAACGTAATTGAGGAAAAAGATGCTACATTAAGTTCTTTTCTCAATGATGATCAGGTTGCAGCTACCAAAAAAACTCCACGAGAATGGTCAAAGGAAACAATCATTAAAGGGTTAAAGCTAAGATTTGCCCTTGGAGTTCATGGATACAAGTATCTACGAGATACAAATTACCCTATTCCTGCTTACAGTACATTAACCAAACGGCTTCGTGAATTTAAATTAAAATTTGGTATTTTTCATGATGTACTAGAGTTACTCAAGCATAAAGTTCAATCAATGGACAGTAATGACCGTTTCTGTGTTATGAGTGTTGATGAGATGGAAGTAAGTAAGCAACTTAGTTATGACAAAAATAGTACAGAAACATTCGGATTTATTACCCTCGGTAATGATAATATGCTGGGTGGTAAACTTCTACTAGTAATTATAAGAGGACTTAAAAACAAATGGAAGCAGGTTATTGGTTGCCATTTAACTGATAGCTCCTTAGATAATCAATCATTTAAACAATTTATTCAACAGTGTATTGAATCAGTTGAAAGCTGTGGAATACATGTTTTAACTTTGTCATCTGATATGGGAAACACCAATAGAGCCTTGTGGAGTTCATTAGATGTTAAAGTGAAGAAAGATGGCATTCGAAAAAATACATTTGACTTCAACAGTCATAATATATTTATTATGCCTGACATCTGCCATCTTCTGAAGAACCTAAAAAGTTCTTTATTGAAAAATGATATTATTTTACCAAAAGAATATTGTGAAAATGAGGGTCTGTCTTCTCAAGTAGTGAAAGGAAGTTTTGTGGTCTCACTGTGGGAATATGAAATAAATTCAAACAAAGAACTAAGATCATTGCATCATCTAAAGCGAGAAGATACGTGGCCAAGTAATTTTGAGAAAATGCACGTTGGTGCTGCAATTAGATTTTTCTCTTTGAAAACCGCTGCTGCTATTGAATTAGCTGTTAAATTGAATGTACTGCCATCAGATGCAATCACGACAGCACATTTTATTCGATTAATTCAGGAGTGGTTCAGTTTGACTACAATGTAGTCACTACATCTAAAGTAAGAAAAACATCAATTACCAAACGTAATAAGGAAAAGAAGTATGACTTTCTTCTGAAAATAATTACAATAACTGAAAATACTGTTTTTGGGCATGGCTGGAAACCATTAAATGCAGGAATAATTATGGCTACTCTAAGCATAATTGGAATTTGTGAAACCTTGTTCAATAACGGTTTTGATTTTGTTCTCTGTCACCGATTAACTCAAGATGCAATTGAGAATATTTTCTCACAAATACGGAGAAAAGCTGGAGCAACACCAACAGCCTTTCAGTGTCTACAAGCTCTAAAACTTATTTCAACGTCTCAGTTTATTTCAGATGTGGATCGAAGTAATTATTGCAATGATAATGATATTTTTCTAATTGATTTTTTTAAAAAAACTGGACAAAGCAATGATTCACAATGTAAAAGCAATAATTTATATTCTTCTGTGAACAATTTGAATAACATTCCATCAGAGATTTTTGTCACATTACATAAAAGTAAATTGATTTCCCAGTTTGAAATATATGAATTGAATCATTTATACCATTTAGGAGGAAGCATAACAAATCATTTATTAGGAGTAGGTTGTAATGATTGTTGTGTATTTCTCCAGGATAATTTACCTGATAACCAATTTTATGGTGCAATTAAATTCTTTAGTAACACATTGAATAAGGGAGGACTTAAAGTACCTTGTACAAATTTATTGTTGCTTATTTTACATTGTGAAATTTTCTATAGTAAATATAAAATGTTTATTTTAAGAAATTCATGTACTGAGCTTATTAAAAAAATTATATCAGATATTGATATAATTTTTCCATTGTGCTCTAAAGGTTGCAATATGAAACAAAGAATTGTTGAACGTTTTTTTTGTATACGATCATATACTGCAGTCAATTTTTCAGTTGACTGTAAAAAAAGGAAGAATATGTACGGTACAGCGTCTGCCAAAAAAAAAAATGTAGCATAAATATTAAATATTATTTGTTCATTATAAGTTTATACTTTATATTCTATGTTATTTATCAATATTTGTTTATCTGTTTGTTTATAATAAGAATTAAAGACTGATTATTTAATTTTGTTTATATATATACTTATGTACTTACAATAGTCATTAACATAATATTTAATGTCAAAAACATGTAGCACTAATGTATATTTTGACCTCCTAAAGTACCATTCGTCTTCCAGAAATATGAATGGGACAGAACACATTTTTTACTTCAGAAAAAAAAGATAGCTATTAGCCATGATAAGGACCTTTGCTATTTTTAGGTAGGTCACTGGGGAGAATAGGATACTATAATATATTTTGTTAGTTATATTAATATTTAAATTTTAAAGTTACAAAAATTATTCATTTCACTGATACGATTATGAGTGGGTACATTTTCTTTATACTTCACTTAAAGAAAAAAACTGCAATTATAAACTATATTTAAAAACAGTATTGAAAATATAATTTTTTAATCAATGCAATCAAAATATTGTTTTAACATTAATTAAGTTCTAATATTTATATATATATATTTGTTTAATGACTGTATGAAGGAGAAGTTAAAATTGAAAGCAATTTGAATTGTGAACATTGTGAATGCTTTTATAAGACTGAATTTAAAATATACATAGCACATACCATTAAAATAATTAAAAAAAGTATTTTAGTATTTAATATTAAAAAAAAGTAATTGAATACTTTTACTCAAATATTTTACAACACTGCTAAGTGCTAATTACTTATTAAAATCCACCTTATCATAATAAGTAATTTTCTCTTCACTATTATCGTCTTTAAGAACATCAATTGCTTCATTTAATATATTTAATTTTTTAAGAAGTTGTCCATTTTCTTGTCGTAGAGTAAGAAGAAGCTCTTTTTTTCTCTCCATATTTAAGTCATTATAGTAAACAAATGCTCCATCTACATCATCAGTTTGAATATTATTCATCTGAAAAATATTCGTTAATACAAAGATGTTACCATAAAAGGCATATTTTATTTCTAATGCAACATTTTGTAACATACTTTGTTCATTATAATTCTGTCTTCAGTTAGAGAAGTAGTGAATTAAACTATGTAAGTTGACTAGCTGTAAATGCAAATTAAATGTGTATTTTAGTTAGGTAATGAGAGTATTTACCAATATTTAAAAAAAATAGTTTATAAAGTAAACACATTTTTAGTTATAAGTGTCGATAATCATAATGTAATTGAATACCTATCTACTTACATAATACTTGAAGTCACGGAAAATATTTCTCATAATTTGGTAGATTGCTACTTGCTATTTACCTAGTTTTTGTGAGTATAATATTTAGAGTTTCATTTAATAACTATCTAGAAGTATAAAGTATTTAAATTTTAAACAGAAAACTTCAATAAAAACAATTAATACGTAAGATTAATACGCAGTACGCACAATAAATAATAAATACCTATGAGTAAATGATAAGTGATAAACTGATAAATGAGTCGCAAAATGGCGGCGTAGCATGCCTATGTTCTATAGTGCCCTAGTCAGGTCAGTCATGTTTTTGTACGAATCGACGCCGTCAAGCCGCCACTTCAACCGCGTTACGAGGGCCCGCACGCTGTTCTCGAGCGCCGAGGAAATACGTTCAGGGTGCAGCGCGACCATTCCGAGGTTTGGATTTCAATCGATCGACTCAAGCCGGCTTTCATCGCACGTGAAGATCCAGTCGCCGACCATTCATACGCCATTCCAGTCAACGACGTCGCCCGCTCTTCTTTTCCGGGGGCGGGAGTAATGACCACGTATTCGCTTTACGCGGAATTTTACTGTGTTTTTAATTACTCTACTCTGTTTTTCCTACGCACGAGTAGATTGTTGGTCGATTACCGGGTCGTAACACTTCGCGCCCCGACGTAATCACCACAATATCATTGATTAGATTGTAGTCTTTTTAATAATTTAAATTATTTTTTTTATTTTTTTTTATTTTGTTACAATAAAATTATAACATATAGCTCTGACATAATATTAAAAAAAATGGTAAAAAAATATTATATAATGTAGGTATCAAAAAATTAAATTGTCAATAATAAATGACTTAAGGACATATCTAGTGGTCAAATAATACATTTTGGTTACAATAAAATTATAATATATAGCTCTGACATAATATTTAAAAAAAATGGTAAAAAAATATTATATAATGTAGGTATCAAAAAATTGAATTGTCAATAATAATAATTTATAAATAGGAGTGGTCAAACATTTGTGTATTACTTATGAATAATGTTTCATTGGAAGAATTCCTTAGTGATTCTATAATATGCTTACTTTCAGTAGATGATAAAGTAGGTGATTCAATTCTTTTTCTTTTGTTGGTAAAAAATCTGGTTTGAGGATCAATATTTCTCTTCTTTCCCGCATTTGAAGTATTTTTAAAATCTGTATTTTTGGCCAATTTCGAAATTATTTTGTCACATTGTTTTAATATATATTTTTGATCTATGTCATTTAACTTGGTACGATTAACCATACCAAGTATTGACTCTAGTTTGTGTGTAATTTCTGTATTACCATCATCTTTATCTATTTCTGGTTGAGTTTCATTTTGTTGTAGAAAACCATTATCAACAACTAATTCAGATGTTGAACTTTCTGGTTTACATTGTAAAAAAATATTTTTTTTTTGTTCAGCACATGCATGGATATGCTTGCAAATATTAAAGTAGATTACATTATTCATGCATGAGCACTTATAAGTATGAACACATATCTGGCATTCAACACAAGTCAAAACACATTCACTACATGATAAATTGGTTTTCTCAACTTTATATACAACATCGTAGTTTGACGTAGAATAAACCAACCAGTAACCATAAATTTCTGATATCATTTTTGGTGTCAATTCAGAAGATTTTTTGTGAGATGCAATAATTTGAATAATTTTAGAAGTTTTTTTTTGTTTTGCAATTTTAATAATCCTTTCGAAGCTTTTATCTCTTACTAATGACATAAGTGCGTTAATTGACAGGTCTAATCTTTTACATTGTTTACCATTTAAATAGTAATGTTTAATACTTTTATGTAAAGATTCAAAATACATGTTTGTATTAATTCCAACATGTTTCCTATTGAAATAGGCCCACTTTTCTACTCTAGATGCATATTATGTGAATTTAAAATAATTTCCAAAGTCTTTTGTATCTTTGTCACTTAAAAGGTTATCTAATACTCTCTGCAGTTCAATTCCAAAATAGTTTTCGTCAGTTTCATACATCAATGACTTTAATGTTTTAAAGACAATATGTTTTTTATCATTGCTGTGAATTTTATTTAAACTTTTTGTCCAATTTCTTAAAATGTGCCAAGCACACAAAATTTGTTTATCTGCAACACCCATTACTTCGCTCCAAGCTTTATAAAATGGTGGTTCGTCATCAGACATAAAAACAGCTGGTGTAATATTGCCTATAACATTTTTAATACATTGAAAATAATGTCGATATAGAACAGCATCAGATTTGTTTGAAAAACAAAATGCTACAGGGTATCCATTTCCAAACTCGTCAACAACTACTAGAGAATATAACTGAAAGTTGTACCCATTTAACCCATGTGTACCGTCAATACATATCTTGTCACATCCAAATTTTAATAATAATTCTGATTGGAATTTAGTCATAATAATCAAGCAAAAATCAGCTTTGGTAAAACATGAAAGATTATCATATTTTCCCTGTTCCTTATAATATAAAATAGGGCTTTCGTCTCCTTTATCCATCATCCCTTGTACCCAGATATTTACAATCATTGAATCATTTTCATGTCTCTTTGTAGAGTATGCTATATTAAAATCTCTTCTGATATTATGTAAATCTTTTTTTTCAAGCAGATGAATCCTTTTAATTTCTCCTTCAATTTTCGTTGACATTATATCTTCCAAAATTCTGTTTATAGGAACACCCAAACTTAAATTACCTGCAACAAAGTCTGTGTCTAAAAATTTACCTGACCCTTACACATACTTTAAGTTACCTGCAATTATACTCCTATCTTCACCAAATAATCTTTGTTTTCCAATATCATGAGTGTGCCATAAGTGTGTACTATAATAACGTACTTTAATTTCCTTGTGATCTATATGTACCTTTATGTAAGAAGGACAAACATAACCAGTTTTTATAGATCCACCACATTTTGTAATCTTACGTCCCTGTTTGACGATTTGTCATATTAAATAACATTTAGTCATTTCATAAAAGTTAATGAAAAATCTTACATTGTTCGAAATTCTTGATCCAAATGATCGATGGCAAAAATAATATACATACTCTTTACTTAAAATCTTTTTACTTGATGAATTTTTGACATATTGAGATTTTTCTTTTTCTTCTATACTTCTTTTCCATTTGTGAAAATCTGTTAATTTGTAATTTACAATTAAATCTTCAATAATATTAAAACTAATACCTTCGACCAAATCACAGACAAATCCATCAAAAATAAATTTCCTATTAAAATAAATAAAACACTTAAACACAAGAGGTTAGTAAAATAATTAGTAATTGATCATGGTTAACAATTATAAAATGTAATTATTAAATAACTTACTGTAATGCATCTAAACACTTACCTTCTATAGTGTTGAAATTTAATAAAGTTGACTCGACATTAATATTATGTGATTTCAAATGCTCAGATAATCCAGTCATTGTAAAAAATGACTGAGTACAATTTTCAAATGAACATAATATGTTTGATCGGTGATCCTTTAAATGAGTTCTGACATGTTTTATTAAATTTGCCTTTAAATCAAAAGTATCCTCACAGTCATTACATAAATATTTTATGTTCTTTTCACTATGTTTTTTTTTAGGTATATTTTTATGTTTAATCCTATGGTGCTTATTTAAACCGGATATAGAATTATAATTGGAATCGCAAACTTCACATTTAAACATTTTAATAATTAATTAAAAGTAAAAAAATAAAAAAATAATTTAAATTATTAAAAAGACTACGATCTAATCAATGATATCAATATTATTGTATTGCTGATAATTCAGAATAGTACCACAGAAACGTGCATAGATAACAGTGACGTCATGGATTCAACAAAATAATTTTCCTGCGAAGAGACATTCGTGTATCACCACTCGCTATCGCGAGTCAGCCCGACCCGGCGGTCGTAGTTGTTTTTGTATTCTCCTTGTATTTTTGTATATTATATGTTCCGTGATTTATTGTAAACTTCGCGAATTATTTTCCCCACCGAATTCTCGACCGTTTCGGTGGTCAATCGACTCTCGTGCCCGAGTCCCGCGATTTTGTCCGTTCTTCCTTTTTTCGACGCCCGACTCGTCAAGTCCACTTTTGTTCGTTTTAAAAGTTGTATGTTACGCTCACACCCTTGCGATAAAATTCGCACTCCGCACCACAAGCGTGCTCGAATTATTTGTTGAATCGTTTCTTTTTTTAAATGTTTTTTTGTTTCATAAAATAATAAAAACACAATACGGCCCACGTATTTACCTTACGCCAGAATAAACCGTGTCGTTTTATCCTTAACCTTTTTTCCTACTCACGAATAGATTGTTGGTTGGTTACCGTACCCATAACGCCTCACGCCCCGACGTAACCACCACATACCTATATTGAAAATAATATTAGACTTACTACAATACTACTTACAACCATAGTACGTCTATGCTTACAACTTACTAGACATCTTGAGATTCTACTGATTCTAGTTTACTGTAATTTATAAAAAAAAACATAACAATGGTTAATACTTGTTGTGTGCTTGGATATAAAAGCCGAGCTTTAAAAAGAGGTTCAAGATTTCACAGGTATCCAAGATATTTGTAGTCGCATTTAAAACTATGATTATGGAATTATTGACGTCTATCTTTTTAACAATTTCTGTTTATAAATGGATTTTGTGGAGGGTCTCCCCAAATAATTGTTTGCTTCATGGTCTAAAGTATCTGGTTACGGCACTGCAACAAATTATAAAAGACAAAAATTAGAAAAGTAATTTTATTTAGGTATTTTAAAATGTATTTACTTAATTTCATAGATTTCCCAAAGATTCTGTTAATCTTAAGAAATGGATTAACATTATACAAGATTTTGATCATGAGTTCAAGTATAAATCTGCAAATAGTGTCATATGTTCTGTTCATTTTGTAGAAACAGATTATACTTTAAACATGGCTGGCACTAAACAAACTTTAAAAAAATCATCAGTACCTAGTATTTTTCCAGCCTGTGTTACTCTTGGTATTGATTTGAATGCAGATGATGTATCTGAACAACACTTGGTGATTTCTGCCATTTCTGACCATTCACGTAAGTTTATTAATTTAATAATTATTAAAACTATAATTGATATTTTAAAAATAATTTTGCTTATTTTTTTGTAGCTGGTACTGCTTTGATGACTTCTATGAATGATATTAAAGTCATTGATATAATTGAAAAGAGTATAACCTATCCAATTCCTGAAAATGCACGTAAGTTTATTAATTTTATATTGTTTTTTGTATTTTATATAGTTATTATAAATAATATACCAATAGTAATTAAAAAAAAATATTTTGCTTATTATTTTTAACTGGTACTTCTTGTGTGGCTTCTATGAACGATATCGAAGTCATTGATTCAAATATAGATGATATAGGGATATATATAAGATCAAATAAATAGTTTACTTTCAATTTTGTTATAGAACAAGAAAATGTTTTTTTCGGGGATTTCAAATCAGAAACAAAAATAACAACTCCAAATAGCCGAAGAAAATATTGGATTTCTAGCCAAAATAAAGTTAAAATATTAAAACGGAAAAATAAAAATTGATGAATAACAACTTGTATTTGAAAATAAAATTAAAAATTAACAGTAGTTAGTTGAGCATTTGAAAGATAAAAACAAAATATCGAATAATTGCTTTACAATGCTTAAGGGGATTGGAAGTGCTCCATTTCTAAGGAGTAAGCGATAGGCATTTAGTTTAACAGTTGAAGTCGCTTACTGCTGTTGTGTGAGTAGTAAATGCTCATTTGTGTGAGACACACGCCACCACTACTACCCGCATATTCTACAACAATGCGATATTCATACAAGCGTCTAGCGACAGGGAATCCGAATGGCTGCAAGATGGCCGACTTCGTTA